AACACCAAACCGTCGCCCGGGACGGACCGGATCTATCCCTACGTCCCGTAGCGGAAAGGACCACTAGGTAAGTACAAAACCAGTGAACATACATATATTGAAAATCAACTTCATAGTATAAAGTCATGCATCATCTATACTATAAAGAGGTGTTCTAAACATGTTCTAAATATCATATCGTCATCCATCAGATATTCTATAAGAACATGGGTTATAGGAAAAATAGTAATAATTCAAACTAGCCTCAATAAGCATGTTATCTCGTAAAACGTTTCATAAAACATAATCATCAAATCATGCTTTTTATGTATGCATTTCTACTATCAAAACATGCATTTTTAGAAGGGGTCCACTCACAGTACTTCGCCGTCGAAAAGCCACGTCATCTAACGAAGAAGGAAACGTCATCGATAATCGCCCCTAAGCACATAAAGGGTACATTTAGTCAAACTCTACTCAAACGATTGAATTTGGGAAAACGGACATCGAAAACGGGTTCAGGACGTCGAAATTAGCCTAGGAGGGGTCCCGCACGAAAACCCAAAAAGTCAACCCCCGAGGTCAAAGTCAACGGTCAAAGTCAAAGTTGACCGTTGACTGGTCAACGCTGACCGTTGACCCGGTCAACGGTCAACGGGTCAAGGTCAACGGGTCGTGGGTCAACCCGTCAGAGTCAACCCGGGTCAACCCGGTTTAGGGTTTGGGTAATGGATCCGGGTTTGGGCCTAAGGGTTTGGGTTAGGGTAATTGGGTTTAGGTTTTAGGGTTTTGGGTTAGGGTTTTGGGTTAGGTTTTTAAGTGGGTTGGGTTTGGGTAAAAAGGAAAATGGGTTTGGGTTTTGGGCTAACAGAAAATGGGTTTGGGCTGCAACCAAGGCCCTAAGGCCTTTGGGTTTGGTGGTCGCCGGATTCCAAGGAGGGGGAAGGCCGGATTTCGGCCGGAGAATTCCCAAGCTCCGTTGGAGCTCAAAACTCAACCAAAACATGTCATTCAATATACCAAATTGAAGCCCCGAAGGTAAGGAATCGCAATATACCCTTGGTTCCCGTCATTGTGGCCGGAGTTGGCCGGAAAACAGCTTGGAAGCCACGGGTGTCCGCCGGAAACTGGGTAAGATTCAAATGAGCATAACTTCTTCAATACTCAATGAAATTAGGTGAAACAAAAAGGAAAGTTGTAGTACTCAGCGAGATGAAGAGATTGATACCTCGCACGCCGGCCAACTCGCCGTGGTTTGGCCGGAAATCGTCTCGAAAGGGGCGGTGCTCGCCGGAAAACTGAGAAATGTCTCCCGAGGTGGTTTCTTCGTGGTTTGACGTCCAAAACACAACCAATGCGTTAGAAAAGAGTTATAGGCGTGGGCATGGGTCTGTGTGTGTGTGTGTGTGTGGGTGTGTTCTGCTCGGAGAAAAGAGCACCGAGAGGAAGGGTGAAAGAGAGAGCACGGAGGAAGAAAGAGAGAAGAGAGGAGAAGACTTTTCAGAAAAAAAAAAGAAAAGGGAAAGGAACCGGGGGACAAAACAGGGGGTGGGCCCCTTGGGCTCACCAATTAAGGTTCAAAAACAATTTTAAAAAGAAAGGTATCCCCCAAACTTAGTGAAAAATACAAAAATACCCATTTTCTTACGTAAATCCCGGGACGGGATGGGATCTACTAGGCACGCTGTCTGCCAGCAAAAACCTGAAAAAGGAACTGGATGAGTTGCAGGGTGCTCACATTGGGCTTGTTAAGGAGAATGTGTAGCTAAAGAATGAGAAAGCCGGTCACAAAGTGGCGCTTGCTTCTTGTCAGGCCGATTTCTACAAGCTTGGCTATGTAGACCATCTTCAGGGCAGGCCGTCGGATTATGAGTTTTCCGAGAATGACTTCGAGACTTTTTCCATTTCTCCAGTTGATCTACTTGATTTCTTATTTGAGGCTGCCTTTGGTAGAGCAGTTGAGGGTCAGGCAATCCAGGTAGGGGATGCTAAGGATAGACTGATGGAAGCTTTGGCTGCTAGGAGCAGTATGGCTGCTGAAAGCGTGGTAGTCGAGGAACCAATGGTTACACAGGCTGCCAACAAGTAATAGTCATTTTGCTTAGACTTAGGAATTTTTTTCCTTTCCTTTTTGTTCTGCTTTACTTGAACTTTGTTGGCCTTCGAGCTAGTTTATCAATTTGCTAGAAATTTAATAAACAATTTTGCTTATATTTGCTTCATCCTTCTATTTTTCCATGTCTTTTGCAAAACTTTTCCATATGACAGGTGGCTGGGTGAGCTGCTTCAATGAAGCAATTGATCCCACGTTGTAACTTAGGTTTTAGTTTCGGCTTCGAGGCTTTGGGAGCCTTGCCTGCTTGAGGCGTCTTGCAAAACTTTGTTGTAGGACAGGCAGTTGAGTTGGCTACTTCGATGGAGCAGTTGACTCATGCGACCACTTTAGGCTTCAGTTTTGGCTTTGGGGCTTCTAGAGCTTTACCTGCAAAAGGAAAAAATGCTGGATTTCCAACTTATAGAGTCGGCGACTGAACTCATTGTCTCCATATGAGGCAGGCAAGTTCGCGTAGCTACTATAGCTCTGAATCTCGGCTTTAAGTAGCTTCGTGAGCTTTAGCCCTCCCGGGGCATGTTGCAAGATTTTTGACTTATAGAGCCATCAACTGGACTCGTGCTTCCCATAAGAAGCAGAGGAGATCCGCATAGCTATTATAGTCATGACACTCGACTTTAGTGGCTTCTTGAGCTTCCTAAACTCCAATCTGTCCGCAGGGAGCATTTCATTGACTATGTAGTCGATGATGGGATCTTGCCAACTCGGGAATGTGTTGATCTGTGCCACTTTGACTCCTAGTTCCTCTTCTATGCTTGACTTTTCCAAGTACTCGACTGGAATAGAGCACTTGAGCTGATGGTCTAGTGCAGAGCCTAGGCTTGCTAGTGCGTTTGCGTGGGCATTTTCTGCTCATGGAACCTAAGTGTGTTTGTACGCCTGGAACGTCACTAGCTTCTCTCGTACCTTTTCGAGGTATCAAGCCATCCTTGGGTGCTTTGCTGCGTTCTCCCCTAAGGTTTGGTTAGTGATCAGCTGGGAATCGAAATAGATCACAAGCTTCTACATCGTTAGGTCTTTTGCTAATCGAAAACCTACTAGTACGGCTTCATACTTTGCTTCATTGTTTGATGCTTTGAAGCTTAGAGGGATCGCTTGCTCGAGCATCAAGCCGTCTGGGGTAGTAAGAACTAGGCTTATCCCAAATCCTTGACGGTTGGATGATCCATTGAATTGCAAATGCCAAAAATCTCCATCAGGTAGGGCTGGTACGGCTATGGTGTGCTCGGCTGCCTTCAAAGCACTTTCAGGCCGTGTTGCTGTATCTTTCAGGCTTAAGGTGAATTCTGCTATGAAGTCCGCCAATGCCTGGGCTTTTATCGCCTTGCGGGGTTGGTATGCTAGGCCGTACTGACCAAGTTCCAACGCCCACTTCATGCTATGCCGTTTTGCAAAACTGATCCTAATGGGTATTAGGTCATGACGATGACCGGATGCCCTTGAAAGTAGGTCCGAGCTTCCGAGCTGCAACCACTAGTGCTAAAATTAGTTTTTCAATCTTTGGGTATCTGGTTTCTACATCGAATAAAGCTTTGGATGTGTAGAATACAGGCATTTAGGCCCCAGCTCTTCTCGCATGAGGTCAGAGCTTACTACTACTTTCGATACCACCATATAGATGTATAAGTTCTCCGTTACTTCCGGTTTGGATAGTAGTGAAGGTGATGTCAGGTACTATTTTAGATCCTGAAATGCTTTCTTACTTTCATCGTCCCATTTGTCCTTCTGTGTTTTTTTTATTGCCTTGAAGAAGGGTTTGCATTAGTTAGTGGATCGTGAAAGGAAACGATTGAGTGGTGCGACTGCTCGTCCGGTCAGACTTTCGATCTTCTTCAGAGCTGTGGGTGATTTCATGTCCAGGATCACTTTGATCTGCCTTGGATGAGCCTCAATTCCTTGTTAGCTTACAAGGTACCCTAGGAATCGACCTGAAGAGACGCCAAATGTGCAATTTGGCTAGGTTAAGCTTCATGTTGCATTCTCAGAGAATGGCAAAAGTTTCTATCAAGTTGCAAATACGGTCTGACCGCTGCTTGCCTTTCACCATAATGTCATCAACGTAAACTTCAATGGTGACTCCAATATGCTTCTTAAACATCGTGTTTACGAGTCGTTGGTAGGTTGCTCTTGCGTTCTTGAGGCCAAAGGGCATGACCTTGTAGCAATATGTGCCTCGCTCTGTCATGAATGTGGTCTTTTCTTTATCAAGCTTTTGCATGGAAATTTGATTATAGCCTGAGTACTCGTCCAAGAAGCTAAGTAGCTGGCTCCCGGATGTTAAGTCAACGAGTAGGTCGATTCGAGGAACTGGGTAGTTATCCTTAAGGCATGCCATGTTGAGATCAGTGTAATCACGCATACTCTCCATTTTCCCTTCTCTTTTTTCATCACTAGCATGATGTTCGCCAGCCATGCTGAGTGTGCCACTTCCTCAATGAATTTAGCCTCCAGTAACTTGTTGATTTCTACCTTAATGATCGCTACTCGCTCGGGTGAGAAATGTTGCCTTTTCTGGATCACAGGTTTGGCAGCGGGATCGACGTGCAACTCGTGACAAGCTATCCCTGGATCAATGCTGGGCATGTCAAAGGGTGACCATGCAAAAACGTCGTGATTCTCTCTAAGGAAAGCCGTGAGCTCTTCCTTCTCCACTAGGCTCAGAATCGGCGTCTTCTTCAGGTTTTCATCCTGATTCATCTTCCAAGGAATTGTCGACCTTGACGTCATCTTCTTGACCTGCCTGCTGTAATTGCTATCTGGTGGAGGTAGAGTCATCTTTCTACACTTCAACTGCTACTGCTGAAGAAAAAGATTTCTTCTTCGACTATTTAAGAACTTGTACAGTGCATCACCTAGACATGGCCTGATCGCCTTTGATCTCTCTGACTGCTCCTACCGGGATACGAAATCAGATTTTCTGATACTCGATCGATGTCACAGCCCCAATCTTCACTAGCCAGGGACGACTCAATATCCCTTTGTGAGAAAATGGGTCACTGACAATCATGAAGGTCTGCGATGAGACAATCAATGGGCTGGTTACGTCAAGTGTGATAGTGCCAATGGTAGTTGAGGTGAGTCCGTTGAATCCAATCAAGACCTCTATTTTACGTTTGATTGTGTTTTCCAGGCCCATCTTTTGGATGACTGACAGTTGTAAGAGGTTGACTGAGCTGCCGTTGTCCACCATGACTCTGCCAATGATAGCGTAGGCCAATTGTATAGAAATCACCTAGGCACAACATTTACAGCTTGAACCTAATTAACCGATCTCATATGTTGGATCTTCCTCTTCTTGGAGTTATTGGTAGCCCCCAGATGCTCAGATTCGACAAAGATTCCGTTGATTCGGATTGTCTTGGTTGGGGCTTCGACATTAGCATTTGCTTCTTACCTTGGCCGGGCAGCTGGTCTATCAAAATACTAGTCGCACTTGCCTTCATTCACGAATTGCTCAAGGTACCTTTTCCATATAGTGTAATCATTGGATGTGTACCCAGGACCTCTATGGAATGCGTAATATTTGGTCTGGTCCATCTTAGAGATGTCGCCCCTTAAAGGTGGCGGCGGCTTGAACCATGGCTTGTCCTTGAGGTCGCGAAGGATTTGGCTGATCGGGACTAAGAACTTGGTGTACGTCTTGGGTGCTGTGCCTCCCTTTGCTGGAGACCGGTCCCTGCGTTTATCTCCTGGCTTGCTTTTGATGTTGAGCGGTTTATCGCTTATCTTCTTTTGAGTCGATTCCGTGACTCTGCATAGCTACTCATGCTACTTTTGGGAGAACTTTTCCTCATCCCAGAGGGAGTGCTTTTCTACCAAAGCATAAGAGTTTGCCAAGGACATGTTCTAGCTATAATCAATTCTCCGAAAAGCTGGTGATCTGCTGGGAGCCCTTTTCGAAAAGTTGAGCATGCGATGTTGTCATCGCATCTGACAATCTTTGCCTTCTCCACCTTGAATCTTTTGACGAAAGAGCGGAGTGACTCCTTCAGGTCCTTCTTCATATTGAAGAGGTGATCAAACTTCTTTTTGATCAAGCGGTATGACAAATATTCCTTAGTGAAAACCAAGGAAAACTCGCTGAAGTTCCGAATTAAGCATGGCGGTAGGGTGTAGAACCAGACTTGCGCCTCGCCTTGGAGCGTCGTGGCAAAAATCTTGCACATGAAAGCATCATTGTTGGTGTAGAGGGTCATGGCACTTCGGTAATGCATCAAATGCTTGTCCGGATCTTCACCTCCCCTAAACGAGGTGAAATGTGGCAGGTTGAACTTCCGTGGTGGCTCCGTCTTCTTGATCTCGTCTGTAAAAGGTGACCTACTTAGGTTGGCCACATCTCTACGAAGGGCATCATCAATAGTGTTAATGTGTTGGAATCCGCGCAGCTGCTCTGCTACAAGTCTTTATACTTCCTCTTGGATTTGTGCCTGGTGAGGCAGTGGAGCCTCCAGCTGCCTTGGGTGTTGACCTACTGGTCTATGTTACTCTTCGACATGTCATGCTCGTCTGTGCCATGATTGATGTGCATTGTGCTGCTCGCCGCTCTTGGCGGAGGCACCCAGTGGAACTTGAGCTGAACTGCTCACGTGCTTTTCTTTGGGTGTCATGCGGCTGCCTACTCTGCTGCCTTATAGAAGGATCTCCTTATGGGCCTAGCCTCGTGTGGACGTTTCTCCTAGAACGTCCTAATTGCTCATCGGAGTGTGGACCTAACCTCGACTACACACTGACTCGTGAGCTAAGTTAGGAATGAATGCTTCTCTGCACATCTAGAAGGGAGAAGACCCCCAAGGGCCCAAACTAGAGTGCACACTACCTAAACGCACAATTCGTGGTAGGTTGAGTGGCTCTTTGCCAGGACATTGCTGGAATGAGTCACGTTCTTCCACCATTTTCCTACTTTGAGACACCTTATCTAAGGTGCGCTACATCTTGATACGCTCAAAAAGCTGGTTCACCAAGATGGTCTGCTGCACGAGGGCGTTCGTCAAATTGGTGACCTACTAGGGCAGGTGGTGCTCACCATTTAGATTGGAATAACTTATATAATAGGCGTCTCCATGTGTGGTGGAAGTATAGTGGACTGCAAGTACAAAACTTAAGCCTAAAGCTGGGATTCCTGCAGAAAAGTGGGGTGTAAGTAACCTTGAATCAATCGCATGACCAGTGGTCGGAATCTGGATCACTGGAGATGACCTTGGAATAGATTGGGTCGCGGACCGGATCGTCGAAACGGGTAGCGGGGCGCGTTGGATCGGCACCTGCTCGCCTTGGGCCTGCATAGCCGTTGGGCTGCCACATCATGGCCTGTTGGCTGGGTGGCTTGGGGTTGGGCTCGTTACGCTACCCAGCTAGAAATAATTATTGAATTCTAGGCTCGGGTTTAGGCCTGCTGTGTAACAAGGCCTGCTGCTGCATTAGGCTAGGCCTCCTGTCCAGGGCTTGCTGTGGCAACTGCAAAGTTCTAGGCCTCCTGCTCATGGGCTTGGAAATGGACCTGGGCCTTCTGCCTAGGGTTTGGTGTGAGTGGTGTCGTGGCCTGGTGGCCTTATCGTAGCTACTGGGTCACGGTGATGATGGTGATGGCGCAGCTCTGCGACAGTAGGGCTCCTCTTGCTGTCACGTTGAGCCTTGAAGATCTCTTTCGTAGGGCTATGTCCTTGTCTCCATTCTTCGGTCCAAATCTTTCCACGTATGATGTTCTGTTCGTCATAGTTTCTGAATTTCCTACCATTGTATCCTTTCTCCAGGGATTGATCAAGAAACTTTTCTTGGAAAAATTAATTGATACGACATGTGAGAAATTCAACATAATAGAAAATTCAAGAAACAAATTGTAAACACGAAAATTCCTTGAGACAAAAACACGTGTACAAAATATATTTTGTATTGATTTTGGGGTTATAATCTCTTCTACAATTTGATCCTCTGATTCTATCTTCGTAAGGTGTAGATATGTGGATGGGCTGTTGATCCAAAAGGCCGTCAGGGCTTGGTCTAAGGATGAACAGTTATGCGGATTTATTGATGTTGTTGATCCAAAGGGCCGTTGGGGCTTGATCTTAGGATGAACGGTTGATGAACGGATCTTCAAGGGGCTTTTGGGCTTGATCTTGAAGAATGGGTGTTTGTTGATCCAAAGGGTTGTCGGGGCTTGATCTTGGGATGAACGGTTGATGAACGAATCTTCAAGGGCTTTTGGGCTTGATCTTGAAAAATGGATGTGCGGATTTGTTAGTGTTGTTGATCCAAAGGGCCGTCGGGGCTTAATCTTAGGAAGAACGGATGATGAACGATGAACACTTTCTTCAAGGGCCGTCAGGGCTTGATCTTGAGTTGGTGGAAGTTCTTCAAGGGCCGTCGGGGCTTGATCTTGAAGGACGATTTGACGAAAAACGAAGAGGGCTTTCTTGATCATTCGAGATTTGCTTAAGAGCTTTAGAGTTTCACAGCTTCAAGGTTTTGGTGTGATGTGAATTTGTGAAAAAAAATGAATGAAATTGGCTTCTATTTATAGAAATTTTCAAGGCCTAATTTTGAATATAATAGTCAGATGAAATAAATCATTTTTGCCAGGTGTTGACACATGTCTTATTTGATGACTTTTCTGATTCATTTCGATTTTTCATTGAGTCACACTCTACGTGTAAAATTTATGTGACACGTAAGCGTTGAAATTTTATTTATTAGTCAACATTCATTTCATCGAAATTTCGATGTCTACACAAATGTGAGAGGATTCTTCAAGTATTTTGAATCAACTCTCAATGAAAGCACCAATTTGTCGATGTAAATTTCCACCGTCTTCAGTCTTGACGAAAATGCACCTGCAAAACAATGAACACCTTTGATCAAAGACCTAAGCCTCATGGGCCCACGAGGTAGAGGGGTTAGGTCAACGGATCTCTGATGCCTAAGTTAGTTTCTCTGAGAGAATAAAGTGTTTAAGGCCTTTTTAGGGTTGCAAAAGCCTTGAAAATTTGGTAGAATATGGGGTATTTATAAGGCTAGGGCTGGCCATATAGGGGGTGTTTGTTTGACCGAATTGCTAGTGTAGTCTCATGTTTGGTTTGCACAAGGATTAGGTTTAATGGGATTATATGGGACTCGCTGGGATTAAAGACTTCGTTAGGAGTTCTTGGCCAAGAACCCCAATTCGGCCGGACTCGTAAGACCACCTGCGAGAGAGAACCTCGCTCTTCCTATGAGAGAGAGTTGTCGCCATCACTCCCTGCGTTCCCTGCTCCCTCCTTGTCCTACTTCCTCATCCTCGTCCTCATCACCCTCATCTCTGCGTCCTGCTTGCCCTCATCAGTATCCTGGTCGCCCTCCACCTAAATCGCCCCTCCTCCTCCCCCGTTCAATCCCGGTTGAACTAACCATCTCTCTCTGTCTCTCACTCTCTCTAGTTCTTTTGAATTTTTTCCATCTGTTTTTTTTATTTTTTATTTATTTATGGAATCTGGGTTTATTGAAAGGTGTTGAATTTCAGAATTTAAGTTGAGTTTTTGCAGGTTGTATAATGCGATTTAGTTAAGGTTTATGTGTTAGAGTTTGTCAATCTGATAAATTTTATGGACTGATTGGATTCTACCCGTTGCATTTTGATGGGTTTCAAGCAGATTGCTATGTGTGTGTGTAGTGTGCAATGTGCAATGTGCAATGTGCTCCAGGGCTTCAGGGACAATGACATGGAGAAAGAGTCCTTGCTTGTAATTTCCAGCGAAGAAGAAGAAGAAAGAGTCCCTGTTTGGACCCAATTTGAAAGAGTCCCTGTTTGGACCCAATTTGAGTTGTTTGTGCTAATTTGGTGTCGGATTTGTGAATTGCATGTTGAAAATTTTATTATCCTACTTCTTAGTCCGACACTACACCAAACGCATCATTAAGTTAATCCAGCTTAGTCCCGGCAGCTAGTCTAGTCCGAGACAGTCCGGTGCAACAAATACACCCATAGTGTATAATGGAGAGACATTCTCTAAATATTCCCAAGATATTTAATAGGAAATAATATCTCGAGATAATGGAGTAATTATCCCTAATTGATTTAAATTAGGATTACTTACTTGATTGGAGTCAATCTTTAATTAGGAATGTATTAAAGATAGGATTTGGGTAATTAATCCTTATCTTTAATTCCTTGCCAAGGGCAGGTGAGCCGTGGGTAGTCGTATTCAACTGCTGGGACCTCCAGGGGTGTGAGCTGCATGTGGGAGCATCTGAGAAGCATGCCCATTTATTGAGGGCAATCTTGTCTTTCTTGAATAAAAGTACACGTGTTGCCTCTAGAATATTTGGGATTATTTTAGGCTCCACAAAACGCTCAATTTTTCGGGCTCTTGCTACAATTAAGCGATCTTCTTCGATTAATTCATCCAACCCAAAAATAGCTATAATGTCTTGAAGTTCAAATATCAATATTTTTTTCCTATTGAAACTTATTATGAACTATTCGTAATTATTGACATTGTAAGAACCAAATGAAGAATAGAGAAAAACATAGAAACCAAGCATAGTTACCATTTGTGACAAACCTCATTTATAACGGACGATTTGTGTTGCATAGAATGGATGGTAGAAAAGAACAAGCTTGCATGGTTAGCATTTGTGATAGACTCCGTTCCGGATGGATGAGGTGTGTTGCATAAAATAGATGGTTGAGAAAAACAAGCTTGTATGGTTACCATTTGTGCCTCAATTAAAGTACCAATACTTAATTAAGAAATCTTATTTAGGGCACTAAATCTAATGAACATCCTGTTAGATTTTGTATACCGTCTTTCTTTATTTACTTTTCCATCTAGTTATTATTTTTCCTTCTACGGATATGGTTGTACGTATTATTGCTTCACAAATCACAATCCCTTTTCATTTATTTCAAAAAATTACAAAAATCCACAAATCCGACATTAACTCATCCTTATCTTTTGCGAACAACCTTCAGTTCTGGGCCAATGAACTAAAGTTGACTGGAAAAGGCACATTTTTATCAACAAGAATTTGTTGACAAATGTAAAAAAAGGACCAATTAGAGACAAATCTCGCATGCATGCATATTTAAGGAAAGGCTACGAGGCCTATGGCGTGGCAAAAGAGTCTTAGTGCTTTCAGTTACAGAATCTGGCCATTTTAATTTTGCTTCAAATTTAATAATAAGGGAAGGTGTGAAGAAACTCGGGTGGATCACTTTCGTCCCTTGGCTTAAGACCACTGAAACCCAGGTTACACTTGTACATGCATACAAATGCCCGGATTGGCCAATGTTTTTGTACTCATGTCTTACTTTGTACTACCACACAAAGTTTCAAAGTTAGCTTTGTGCTTTTTACTCATTTACCAACGGTGAATTATAAAATAACATTGTGGAAAATATGTTAAGCATCAATGAATTAATCCCATAGGAATTTAGGTTATGTGAATTAACAAATGAGACTTTCCATACAAAACTCAAGCATACTAACGAAATGTGGATGAGGTTGAGGAAACAAAATGTTAATTGACACGCGTAAGTATCGAGAATACTTGATCAACGTGACATATTGATGGGCTAACGAAACTAATGTTTATGGACACGCGTAAGTATTGGAAGTTAATCAATCATTTGAATTGATAGTTACGTACACGTTTAAAAAAGAGAAGCGCTATTCCCGCTCCGTTTATATTGCACTCGCTATTGCCAACAAATTTTGCGCATAGTGTATATATAAGCAATAGAAAGCGCGCGAAATACACCATTTTGAAAATAAAAAAATTTTGTACTCATGGTAATATATTAAAACCCTTTTATCTTATTCAACCCTAAAGAAAGTGTGTTCTCTATAACCTTTTTGGTTCTTAAAAATAAGCCTCTCACTAACTTCCAGATTAGAAAAAGAAAAAATGTTACACTTTGGTTTATTTTCCGAGTTCAAACGTTAAAATTTTTAACAGCTGACCTCGTTTACTTTTGTGACACATATTGGTTTTTTTGGCTATAAATAAGCTATATCTCTCACCCATCTGAAGATACAAACAACTAGTTGATTTTATCTTGAGAGTGTCTTCCTGTTCACAACTAGCCAGAGGTATTCACTTTCCCTTTCACTCCTTTATCAGTCACCATCTCCATCCTTCTCTCCTTTCTCCTATAGCTAGAAGGTTACCGCGTGCCCTAGGCCAAAGTAGCACCCCTACACCTATTTTATCTTTGTGTAATTTTTTCAATAAAATTTTTCATGTTTAATTTCACAGTTTAGAATATACATCATAAAATTGAAATGGTCATATACTGATTCAAGTTGTCTATTTTATTATACAGGAATCTGTGGAGTGTGAAGCGTGTATTCTGAGGTAATTCACAAGAATTTCGTAAAAATTAAATAATAAAAAAAGAAGTACGAATTTGAAATTTTTTTTACTTTTTGGTTTGGTTTCTTTGCAAGATTGATTCAATTTATTTGTTTGTTGGCCTTGGATCTCCTTTTATATAATTTTTTTTCTTTTTGTTGTCCATTTCAAGGATTTCATATAGCAGGTAGCTGCAGGTGTGATCCTTGCTGATGTCCAAAAGTAAAGTTTTATGGGAAAGGTATCCTCTCCATATTCCTTTTACCAAATTCACAAATTCTACTTATCCGAGTTATTGAAATTTGATTAAACGGTTACAAACAGGGATCATTTTAAAAGTTATAATAACTTTAGCCGTTGCATCAAATTTCAATGGACCGGATGGATGAACTTGGTAAACTTGGTGGAAGGGATGATCCTTTTCTAGTTTTACGAGAGAGAGAGAGAGAGAGAGAGAGAGAGAGAGAGAGAGAGAGAGAGTTCGTGTGTTTCTCTGCCCAAACAGTCACATAACCACATTTTTTTTTTTTCAAATTTGGGCACTCTTTGCAAGAGAGAGAGAGAGAGAGAGAGAGAGTTCGTGTGTTTCTCTGCCCAAACAATCACATAACCACATTTTTTTTTTTTTCAAATTTGGGCACTCTTTGCATTGACTATTTAATTTCTAGTTTTTTACTAATTGATTTGTATTTTGCATGAGTCTGGTTCAATTAGCAAATGATTTTTTTTGGAAGATTTTGCTAAATTATGAAAAGTGTAGCAGAAAATCCTTCTGATTTCCTTTGGGCTTTTTGTCGAAAGTAACTTCTTTGGTTATATCGGTTTTAAGTGGCTGGCCCTTAATTTGCCTCCATCTGAGCAAAGTCAAAGTATTCCTTCTATCAAATAATGTGGCAGATGTATTTCATGGGCCCCTGTCTCTAGTTTAAATATTTTTTTCATTAAATAAAAAGAAAATTAAATTCTAAAAAAAAAAAATTTCTCAGCCAACCTTGATATTGGGTGGTGTGGTTTGAAACATTTTGCATCATATAAATTTTTATTATAATTATTAATTAAATTGTAATTTGAATTAAAGTACTAATTTGATAGTAGCACGTTATTTGGTGCAAAAATTTAATATGGCTAACATTATTCTTTATAAATTTCCCTTTCTTTTGTTTTCTTTCATTTTTTTTTTTTTTTTTTTTTGTGTTTTCCCTTCGAAAAGATTCAACCCCATGAGAGGGATGAGCTCGGTCAAATAATATCCTACCTCAAAAAAGACTCAGCTCTCACTAAATAATTTTGTGTATAAGTTATATGTTTATCATATATATATATATATATATTAATTTTAGGCGAGATCGTTTGGTTTTAAAACTTTTGTAATTTTATTGTTCGATGGGCTTTTTTATTATTTTTTTTAATACTTTTAGTGAATATATTTAATCACATAAATGCCATGTAATTTGAATGGATGACTTGTCTTTAGTCTTTACTGCCAAATCCAATGTACATAATGTAACTATAAAAGAATTTCTATATTTTTCGAAGTATTAGGTTTTGGTTCTGTCCGATTAATTTTAACTCACTCTCCCAGTAAGAAATGTAGACTCTGCAAATCTAGTATTTTATCAACAATTTTGTGTTGGTTTTTTTTATGTGGTATTTAAGGAATAATATGGTTATCTATAAACACCACTTACTTTATATAACAAGACATTTATGATTGTTTTTTATCCCAAAAAGAATGCTTTTTCCTAATGAAAGAAAATGTATATGAGCCGGTTAGGCTATGTTTGGGGAAGATATTTATAATCTCCTCTATCCAATTTTTTGGGGTCTATTTTTTTACTAGCTTGGTTTTAAACGGGACATGGAAATCTCTCATCCAAACATGGCCTTAATCTATATAACAAAAATATAATGTGGAAAATCATTTTAATGAGTAATTCTCTTCAGTGTAACCAAACAGGTTTTGACCTACGTACACACATGCAATATTTGTAGTGATATCAATTTAAATACAAAGCTGACTTCTTGTTTGAAACTGTGATCAGAAGAATCAGATGGAAGGTGATCAGTCGGCTAGCATTGGACGTGATCCATTCGATCCCTTTGCTAACAATCACAGCATGCAAATACCGTCAATGGAGAACAATGCTGCGGTGAAACTCTTACTCGTGTTCTTTTCTCTTTTTGTTAAATTTGTAACACTTTCTGTTTCACTAGTTTAGTTAACCAGTTTACGAGATACGATATTTGTCACACGTAAATAATTCTACGTAAACTATTAGTAAATGTGATATAAGTAGTTGTATATTTCTAATTATTTTGCGACGGAATGTGATGGTGTAGCAGGAACACGTTGTTGACTTGGAATCATCAACCGATAGCCCTCAGCCTATGGATCCGATAAGGTCGACGGAGACCCTCACAGAGACGGAATTCAACTTTTTAAACCCTTCCCATGAACAACCTGCAAACTTGGCTCCAAATGAGATTTCATTTTCTGCTCTATTTGCTGAGGCAATGGGGAATAACCCGCAAATAATAGTATGTTTCGTTTACTCATTTTGAATTATATGCCTCTAACTAAGTAAAGATTATCGACTGTGTTGGAATTCATTGGTATGTGACGGATCTCACATGATTGTAGTAGACCTCACGTAGTGTTAGAGTCCAATGCAATGTGTTCAACCAATCTAAAATTGTTCTAATGAAACAAAGTTTTAGAAGTGGAGATGACTCTGGCCTAGTGAAGGAACAAAATCATGATGATTCCACAATTGTATAGACTTCGGGTATAATAAAATGGTTTTGGATTTAGTTGTCTTTGATTAACAGAAAGCAAAGATATGACATGGATATACTCCAAACCCTAATCAACTAATGTGGGACATTTGGAATAAATTGTTGTCCTAACCTTTGAGAATATTACAAGTTTCATTATAAGTGCATTAGTAGTATAAGCATTGTTATTCAAATTAATTTGAATGGGAGCAATAACTTGTTTTCTTTTTTCATTGATGTTTATTAGGCTCAACCAAATCCAGAAGAGTTAATCCCTCCGATTTCTAATGCTCCGAACTTGTCATTGCCGCCGCTGCCGGAAGTTACATTTAATCATCTACTTAGAGGAGCATCCCAACCCTACCCTCCATACATGGTAAGACACTAAAACGTAATTTGACTTGAAAGGTAATTTGAAAGATAATCTGATACGTTTGCTTAAAATATTCAATTTTAACCCATATTTACTTGGATTCGCATTTGAATGCGTGACCTGGACTAACAATCTAGCAATGTGACATGCCGAAGTTTGAAATTTATAAACCATCTCTCAACCCCATTTCAAGTTTGTGACTTCATATTGTAATAGTATCAAACCCTAGAAGATACGGTTTAGCATCACCTACCTATGAAGAAGGTTCAATTCTATGTATTCCAAGATTAAAAATGGTTTTGTGATGTATTTCCGGTTTGCTTATTTGCTATTGATGGTAATCTTTTTACATTTAGTTTATAATTTTTTTGCATCTTTGCATATAGGAGGAGCTGGAGCTCGGTTCATCAGCTGGAAATAACTGGTCCGGTCTGAATCCAGCAAATTCAACCCAAAACTTCATGCCTGGAGCCGCTGTATTTCCAAGCTATCAGTCCTCTAACCCTCTTTTTCTATATCCTCAAAACCAGAGTGAAAGAACACGGTTCTTCTTCAATCCTCCTATGCCAAACAGTGCACCGGAGTATCGTCCGGTGAGTATAATACCTCAATCATATTATTGTCCTTCCATTTAAAACTAACATTAATGTTATTATTATGCTATTCTATCAAGCACAAAAAAATAAAAAAAATAAAATGACACGTGATTCACACGCATCAACAATTATCAATCGCGATGCTAGACGGAAATTGGGTTATTTCACCTCCCAATTTCCGTCCTACATCAAGTCGTCTACGAACTATGATATGCCTTGATAATTCGATCACCATTGACTATCTATTGACGTTTTGATGAACAGATGTATGTCGGTAATGTTATGGCGGAGCCATTTCATCAAGAAACCAATCCAGTTGTTCACCCCTATCCCCAACAGGAGCAATTGCCTCTGTATGTCAATCACACATTCTTTTCAACAAAAATTCATTGGAATAACTCTCTAAGCATAATTTATTGGAATAACTTTCTAAGCATAATTTCTGATTGTATGAAAAATTGATTGATGCTTAGGTCTCTAACTTTGGGGCCCAATCAATATGGAACAAGAACAGTGAGCTCTGTGTTTAAACCCTTCAAACACTAGCGTAAATGAGAAGTGATTTCCACACTCGATTCCCCCTGAACACACTGCTCTGTTTATTTATGGTCATTAGATTGAATAAATCAAAATAGAAGGTATAGACAGAAACGAACAGGAGTGTGCAGAAAGAGAAAATGGATGTGCGGAAATCAGTTCCCAAACAATCAGTTTCATTTTACTTCACCAAGAAATTTGATAAAATTGATACTACTGTTGTATACAACTTGTTTTCTGTGAGCAGATGATGGCAGGCCTAGGTGGTGAGAACCAGAGGCCATCCTACCTCAACCAGCAACCAGCTGTTCTCTTCTATCCCCAGAGTGTCAATTCTGCTACACAGCTCTCGACTCCATTGGGGTTTTGGTACATGACCTGACATAATCACAATCTTGGTTTAGTTCTCTTGTAACATTGACGTATGGTTAATTCGATATGATGATTGAATTTAGGCCCCAACATAATCAAGTTATACAAGGTAATGGAGCTTTTAACCCACAAGGGAACAACTTCGTACCCTTTGGAGCTGCACAAATAAGGTACAAATAAATTTAATATTGCAATGTGAACACGGAAACATAATGTTTAGGGGTACTTTGTTAACTTGTTTAAGTATGCATCTGATTTAGGCCCCAAGCCACCCTACAGTTACTGAATCCGACACAGCAGGAAAATCAGCCACAACATTGAATAGGCCCCAAGGCACCCAACAGTCATTGAATTGGGCGCAGCCGGAAAATCAACGAGAACAATTGAACAAAATCCCGCAAAATCCTTTCCCGGCAGGGGAATTTAGGTACCTGATCTAACTTTGTTCTTTCCTAATTTATGTATCAAAATAGTTTTATCACGGAAATTAACAATCAATCATGGACATAAACCTTATAGTATATATTATGCATTTAGGCCCTGGATACTGGAATCATCTCTGGCAAGGTAATGCAACATTACCAATTATATTTTCTCCTATATCAAAGATGGTGCTTTCTGTAATGGATATTCAGTAACCATAATGGTAAAATGATGAAAAGCATATCGTAATACAGTTCAATCTTAATTTTGAAATGCAGGGCCCCGCCTCAACAACAAGAACAAACTAACAAAGGGAAGGCCGTCCTTGTGCACGAGCCACATAATTCTAATTCTAATCCTCTCATGCAGTCTGGGTGAGCAATCAAATGTTTAATTCTTCTATGAATCTATATATGAAAGTGTATACAGCAAAAAAAGGTGGGGGAAATTGGTAAACAGAATGATTATCAATAGTCGAAAATGTGAATAGTAACTAGGTTTTATTGTGTTCAAATTAAGGTTCTTCCTATACGTCTTCCTTAGGCCTCATAAAGTAGCTAAGTCACTACCTACTCTCCCTATCCCTGTAAGGCCGAGGCCGTCTGTGCTACCTACCATAGCTGATCCTCCGCATCACAGCTCTGCACCTTCCAAAGCTCAGATGCCTTTTAGGTACCTGCATGATCCTCAATTGCTTATATCATCTATTCTTACAAGGAAAATAGACAGAGAAGCACGGAAAATATCATTTATTTTATTTTAATCATAAGTATCTCCTGGGCAAAATACTCTTATCTTCATGCTCTTATTGAATTCTTTTTTGTAGGCCTTCTCCCATCCAACTTGAAGAAACAATGAATCAATCTAATGTTACAAGTGATCGCAGTTCTCAGAGGAGCAGTCAACTACGGAGCTCCCCAACTGAGAAAGTACGAGCCTTCCTCACTCATAACTTAAATAAGTTTCTTCTGAATCGATAATCAAATATCCTACATTCTTTCATTGGGAAAACTATAACTATCACACTGGTTTCGAGTTTCCAACCAACATGAATCTTCACGAAGCAATTTCATAGTAGTATAATTGTAAGAACTCTACTTTTGTGAGTAAAGGGGGTTTTCCTATCGACATAAGCAGTCTTGGATGCACATTAGAGAAAGATTCTCTTGATAGGTGGTTTCTTTTCTTGAGTATATTTTGTAAACAAGAGCAATTTCTGAAGACGAACATATTTTAGGAAGAGACACCAGAACAGCTGGGATTTTCTGAAAAACGTGGCAAACAACCAGTAGGAGAGTCATCCCCGGCCAAATGTTCCAAGGTATCAACTTTTCAGTACTGCAGTGTATTAGGTTTTGCAAGGGTTTAACTGTGGAAAAGGGTTTCAGAATCAATATTGTATTATCACTAATGAAACCATCTTTTCACGATATGGTCAAATGCAGAGGAATTCAGCAGCTTCTAGTTGTAGTAGAGTTAACAGGAGTACTTTTGAACCGCAAGAAAAAAAATTGGATCTATTCACCAATTTTTTCATTCCTTCTAATCCAAGGTATTTGAAGTTTTATTGAATGATGATCATTCTGTTCTTGGTAAACTTCAAACTTATTACAGTTTTTATGGTTGCCTTTCAGACCAATGAAGAATAGTCATTATGATCCAGCATTTGAGGCAATGGGACTGCCTATTGACCCTCATATTCGAATGTTTCTAGCAAGCCAACAAAATCCTCCTGCAAAGAAATAATTGGCTTGGTCACCTTCAACTTGTCCGGCAAGAGTTTGTCCTGCCATGATTTATGGTTTAATATCAATTAATAAAATGCCAGTGTAATTCTGACATAATAGTCCTTGATAACTATTTAAGGTCTTTCCTTAAGAATTTCTTAAAGGTTCTTAAATATTTTATTTAAAGTTTTTACCAAAAAAAAATTCTATGTAGTTGCAGTTTTCATGTATGCAGATGCTTTAAATCTATATACAGTGATGATTTTTAAATTTTATGGCTGGGGAAAGAAATGAATAAGAACACATCATCCCCTTAGTTTTAAGGACAAGGTGGTGCAATAGGTCAAATGCCAATAAGTACGGAAAATTGGTAGAACATTCTTTGTTACGAAATAGGAAAACCAGTATGTTACTGTTTCTTGGCATAATATTTGATTAACTGGAAGGGAAGTGTACCATGACTAAGAAAACTCAAGGTCGTACTAGGTAACCAGTGCTGTAGCCCAAAGAATATATTTGGTAGAGATAGAATAGACATGAAACCACAGATACTTTTGAAAGGAAAGCATACTAGGCATAAATCGATTCATACAAACAATCGTCCAAATAATCCTTAAGCATTGAGCTTGTCTAGGGAGGATTAATTACCATAGTAGTAACAAAGAAATAATAGGATCGCCTGGAAGTGATGCAAAATAGAAGAGCAGGTGTTTTCTTCTATTGAGGAGGTTGTTAGGGGTTTGTAGTCCGATTCTTGTCAGGGATACTCATACTCGCGTATTCCTGAATCTATGTTCAGGATTCAAATAGAGTTCGGTTCTGGTTTTCCCAGGTATTTTGCTGCAGAGAAGGTAAATTTGGTTGATGTACTATGTTTTTCTCGGCTTTTAACCCCTTAGCCTGCTGTTGTACTTCTGAACTAAGAGTCCTCAAATAAGATTAGAGTTTTTTCTCTTTCCTAAAGCTGGTTCAGATTTTGCCATATTATTGTGTGGTACACAAAACAATGATACACAAACATAGTTTACTAATAATTTCTGGTACGTCCAGTCCTTTCGAGAGTTAAAATCAAGGAAGGAGATGCATGGAGAGAAAGCGTGATATTATCTCAACTAGGTTCTGATTACTCACTCTACTTTCATTTCAGAAACACCCAATAACATAATCCAGATCAGATAATAATATATTCTAAAATCTATCCACCAGTTTAACTAATTCAACAAAAATGAAAACAGAATCTCTCTCTTGACAAAAACTAACCTCAATAAATAGTGTTATCAAAAACCCAAGGTTCGTGCACGAAAAGCTCTCGGCCATTCATTGGCACTGACCCTGCAGCAATGTCCTCTGCGCGTTTCCTCTCTGCTTCAGCTCTTCTGGCAGATGCATCATCATCCTACCAAAAAAAACAAAAAACAAAACAAAACAATTCAACATTTTACTACACACCAATCCCATTAGTTCCACCAACATCAACCATACAATTACAAACACCCCGAAAACAAGAACTCGAATCATATTCGACATTGCAATTCCAAACAAAAATCAGACACACACAAACACACAATACACATTAAAAAAGAAATCAAACGTTCACAAACATTTGCATATCAAACCAACCTTTGTTAAAGTTAAATTAACACATATTCTAAACAATCTAATCCATAATATGTAAATTATATTATCACCATATAATACCAAAAATAGAAAAACTAATGGGAGAAAGCAAAACCCTCGCCCCTACAAATCCAAAGCGAGAAAAAAAAAAAAAAATCGGAGAAAAAAAAAGAGGAGAGGGACCTTCTGGCGTTTCCAGGAAAGGAACTGGTCCTTCGTCATCGACCTCGGATTCTCAACTTCCTTAATTTCTTCTTCTCCCATTGTCGTTGATGTTTTCTTTTTTTCCTTTCGTTTTCTCGGATTTTACTTTCTGTTCCAAACTGAGGTCCGAGGGTCTCTCGTCGGCCATGGTAGTTTTATTAGTGTTCTTTGACGCGGTGAATTTGAGACGTCGGGGCTGGGGTCAACTTACTACCAACGACGTGTCGTTTTTTAAGGCAAGATCGAAACCCACAAGAGCTAGACTTGTCGCTAAAAGGCATAAATAAAGAGAAGACTGCTATTTTGATGAAGAACCGGATCACCTCCGAATCCAAAGAAATTGAGCTCAATGATCAAATGATTCGGGTCATTGAAATTTGATACAACGGTTATAATTATTATAACTTTTAGAAGGTCCCTGTTTATAGTTGTTGGATCAAATTTCAATGATACGGATCATTTGATGAGTGAGCTCAATTCCTTTGGATCCGGAGCGGATCCAGTTCCTTTGGATAAAACCACCACATGAATTGTCATCATAAATTTATTTGAATACTACTTGTTATATTTAACTCAGTAGAGCTACTCCACCTCTGAAAAATCATAGTCAAGAGTCAATTTCATCCACCCAAATTAATATTAATTGACTGTAATAAAGAGCAATTGTTCAAGTGCATCTCCACTCTTAAACTAAATTGCATAGTCAATTTGTATTGAAATATTATTATTTTTTTAATAAAATAGAAAATAATTTTATTTTTAATTTTGGATAGGATTTTTAACCGATCTTATCACATCACGTGTCATTATCCAAAAGTACAATTTTGTGAATAGATTTCGATGTAGAATTTTAACCAATTTCGTAGCGCCAAATGTCATGATTTTGTAAGAATTTTATGAATAAATTTCCGATAAGATTTTGAACTAATCTCATCGCACCAATGTCATTATCTATTTAAAATCCTTTAGAATAGATTTCGATAAGATTTTCAACCAATCACGTTGTGCCACGTGACATTATCTACAATCTCATCATTTCTTTTTTGTCCATATAAACCCCCACATACATTCTAATTCATACACCAAACTCAAACTAGCCCAGAATCCTATAGTTTATAAATCTTGAGTTTTTACAATGTCTTCTTCAGAGATTGTATGGAATCGATGAGTAAGAGAAAAAATTGTTTGAGAACATGAAGAATTGTTCAATCTCGAGAATGGTGCAGATGAGATGTTCGTAATGGAAGAGGAAAATGATGATGAACTTAGAAGGCAAAAAGCCTCACATTCACATCGTGTCATGCAAGTTGTGGGTCAGATCTCCAAACTCAGGCGTTTCGCAAACTTGGATAGAAAGAGGGAAAGACGAGGTAAGGAACCTTTGAAAGATTATTTTATCCCTAACAGTGTATTCCCTGCTGATGTTTTTAGAAATCGTTTTAGAATGCAACAAAGTTTGTTCAACAAATTGCTATTTGCAACCAAGATCCATACTTTGTGCAAAAAAAAAAAATGATACTTTTCATGTTATAGGCCTCCTTCCTAAGCAAAAAATTAATGTTGCCTTGCGGATACTTGCATATGAAGCGTCTGCAAACCAAGTGGATGATATTATGAGAATGGAAAAATCAACTGTTCTAGAGTCCCTGATGAGGTTTTGCTTCGCAATCAAAACTATTCACACCAATGAGTACTAAAAATAAATAAAAAAAATTACATAAAGTACTAAAAATAAATAAGAAATTACATAAAGTCTGTGTAGCTAGGATATGTGGTGCTAGGATCTTCGTTGCTCGGATCCTCTCCCCACTTGTCCCCTCGATTCTTGCAGGCCTTCTTCCCACCATGTCCTCTTTTTCTGATGTCCAAAAATATTTAGAATTTGGAGACATTCATTCTAGAGGCTTGTTCATAGTGTCATGATCTTGGTGTAAGTCTACTTCTGACCGAGAGTGTAGAGGGATGTTGTGCATGACAACTTCTGGACCAGTTGGCATAATTTTGTATCTAGGACAATCTTTGTCAACATTCCAACATTCCCAGTGGCTGAATGATTTGTTTTTGTTTTTGTTTTTTGCATGGTACCAAGTTTGTACTTGAAGTGTCTAAAAAATGCGAGAGAAGACAATATTATAAAATGCAGGTGTAATACAAATAAATAAATAAAAATATTGTCACCTAATCCGTGAAACTTTCACCATTACTCTGATTAGTGGCAGCTTTAAAGAGGCAGTTTTCCAACAAGTAAGCAATTGGTTGAGATTTTTCCAATGACCTTGAAGACCTTGATTCGTTCTTGTGGCGCCAAACTTCTCACAAAACAAGGTATGAACCATATTTCAAACTTCTTACAATTGCATCTCATTACCCGTAATCGGGTCATGAATAGCTTGAACCCACCATTTACACAATGTAACATCTCCGATGACCGTCCTATTAGCCTTTTTTTTGCAATCAAAAGTATATGAAAACTTTGATTGAAAGTATTGAAAATATTGAAATGTGATGTAAGGTGGAAGATGATGGTTAGGTATTTATAGTAAAAAATAAAATAAAATAAAATAAAAATTTGTTTTATTTTTTCTGTATTTTTTAACTATTTTTTATATTTTTTTTACACTTTTTATTAAGTTAATTAATCTGGACCATTGGATTTCAAAAAGATTGAAATCCAATAGCCCAAAATTGGGCACATGGCCAATGGTAAGATTTCTAACATTTTTTTATTTTTTGGCCGAAAAACCTTTACCGTTGTCCTGAAAATCGAACGGTCCAGATTTTGCCACGTCACTAGCTATTGGGTTTGAAAATTTTTAGACCGTTCCAATGGTCCAGAAAACTAGCCGTTGGAAATCCAACGGTCATGGACGTGCCACGTAGCCCCATGTCCTGCTTTCATTAGTGCACCTACAACGCGGGTTCGCCCCCCTGCGCAATATCAGGAAGGCGTGCCCACACACCTAGCGCAAAAGAAATTGGTTTCACTTGGCTGATGTCAAGTAGGCCAAGTATTGGGCTAGTTGCTTTTTGCTATGCATGTGGCTGGCCTCCCCCAAAGCCTAGTTGATTGGATGGGGGTGGACTGGATTTTTGCGGGGGAGGGGGGAAAAAGGGATGTTGCCCTACTAACCCATGGAGGGCTGGAGTTGTTCTTATGATTATGAGGTTGGACTTCATGCAAGCGACTTGAAGTTGGTATATGAGATTTAGGGGTGGGTTCAAAAATCGAAAAAATGGATTTATACTGAATCGAAATTGAAAAAAAAAAAAAAAACCAAACCAAACCAAACTTTATTGGTTCGGTTTCGATTTTGGAGGTTCGGAAATCTAACTAGACTAAACCGAATCCCTTTACATTTTATGAATGTATGCCCACAATTATTTTTTTGTGAAACTTTGTTGCCAAGTTTTAAACTTCTAGTAAGAAAAAAGATCAAGCACATGCCTAAGCGAAAGACTAGTGATAGTAACTTAGTAAGCATGAAGTAGCCCGAGCACTGATGGGCAGCCACATTTGCCCTTCTGAGGAAGATTTGCTTTCGGCTAGTTGATTTTGCAGTGCTCCCTCAGCACTCAGTTGGTAAAACCAACACTGTAAATCAAATTTTATCTTATACTAATTATATTCACTCGCTGTGCCACAAGCTAGGTATATAGAATAACACTGCATGGTTTAGAGACTAAGCCTAGGGATTCCATTGGTTATAGAAACTTTTTTTGTGAAACTTTGTTGCCAATTAGGGAGCGTAATCCTTTGGTTATAAAAGAAAGTTTTAGAAGGCTTTGGAACTTGGAAGAGTTTTTCTATTTGTTTGCTTTTGGAATGGATACGGGGATTATTTTTCTTTGCAATTGAGGTTGTTGATATGATTGATTTATATAATCTTGTATATGTACAATTACCTTTCAAATTTCCTAATTTTCTTATTATTAGTCTACCAATGCAAGCCTTTTTTCTTTTTAAATTCCATATTACTAAAGATCAAGTTTTATAAAATAATAAAATAAAAAAACTGAAACCGAATGAACAAAGCCAAACCTAAAAAAAACTGAACTAAAAAAAAAAAAAAAAAAACCAAAAGAAAATTCAACTGAACTGACCGAATGAAACCGAACCCACTCATAATGAGATTTGACGAAGTAATATGGGTCATATGAGTAATGTCCAAGCTACGTAGGCGCAAAAAAGTGCGACCGTACCTCTGGAAGTCAGAAATCTTCATTGAGATTGAGGAACCATCACCATGGATCTTTGAAACGACATCGTTTTGGACTTGGAATATAAAAAATAATAATTGGAACGACATCGTTTTGATTTTAAAAAATATACATAACACAAATAACAGGAGACCACTGATCCCCATTATACACACACGAGAGGAACCGAGCACCAGCACCAAAATCCAGCCTCCAAACATACTCAAGACAAAAAGGTAAGAAGCTTTTTCTGCCATTGGCCATTGGAAGCAGCAGCCAGGTGACCGCCACCAGTCACACGTCATTGCTCTCCACACTCGACGCGGTCGTTAGCCATCGGCCCACCACCATCGGCCACCGTCAATGTTGAGGTAAAACCCTAATTATTCAAATTTTAGTTATTTAAATCCTAATATGAAACTTTGTTTAATTGATATAATATAGTTAATGGTTATTGATTAATAATTTTTGTTTAATATATGATTGTTGATCAATTGAATTGTTGTTTAACTAGACATTAGTTATTGTAGAGCACTTAAGGGAGTCTAATTCCCTTTTTATTTTCCTCCTTCGTACATTTGGTGTGGTCTTCCTTCAAATATTCTTGGTAGTTCACAACAAATTTGATCACTGAGTTGAATGAAATATTGGCTAATCTTCCTGCAAATCCTTGTTGATTGCATTTAGTGAACTCACTCTCTATTGAGCACCTATATACTTGCTTTGATGTCTTTCAGACTAATGACTCAAGACCAGACACTCTCTAAAGAAAGAAGACATTGTATATACTGATCTTATCAGATTGTCAATACTGAATTGACAATCCTATAATCAGAATGTTTAGAATATGTGCATGGTTTCATGAATCTAACTTCCTCATACATTCCCTTATTTAGATATTCCTTGGACTTGTTATTTAAGCATATAACATTTAATGAGATGACTTTAAACAATAATATTCCTTAGATTAAACTAAATTAGTTTAATATGTGAAATATCTATAAAGTATAATCTCATGATTGACTTTTAAGGTATATTTCTAACACCATATCATGCTCATACTCTTAATCACACAACGGGTCACAACTTGGTCTCCTTTTATACATTCCCCTTCATTCTTCCTGTCTTCTTTGTTCTCCTTTCTCTCCTGTCTTTGCCTACGCCACTGCTTTCACTATACCAAACTCTGTACCACCTAAGCCCAAGGCTCCATCGTAGATACATATACTCTCACGTGTGCTTGTGAGCATGCTAATCATCTTCTACGTACGCATTCAAAGAATCAAATAAAATCGAAAAACAAAGCACGACAGTGTAAGCAAGAGAAGACATTAGAAAAATTAAGATATATAAACATTTAAACCATGTTCAATTGTTAAAGCCACCATGCAATCTCCCAAAAGAGTAAATCAATCTAACTTCGATCCCTCCAGTACTGCCTAATACTTGTTCGAACACCTTCGACATATTCCAAGACTTAACTAGACTCCATACACAAGAAATGACAAAAAATTCATATATAAAAGAGAAAAATACTATAACCTTGGAGGTAGCTATTTTAACATCCTCAAGAGTTTAAAACCAAGAAGTTAAGTCGCTTATCCATTAAAAAGGTGAAAGTAATTGTGAAAAATCACCAACCTTATCAATCCGCAGAGAAAAGTCTTTCCAATAAGTAAGAAGAAAAAATTTGCAGTGCCTTCGAGCACATTCTTTCTTGTGTCACTTTCTTGACTTCCAAGATTTCTCTTCATTCTGCAATAAATATTGAAAGATTGTTTGTAATCATGAATTATTGATCTTGTTCCCCAAGCAGAGCATGCGCATCAAAATTTCTCCCATCTTCCTTAGCCTTTTTCTTGAGAAGTATTCCCTTAATCAACACCTTTTACTGGTGTTCGACTATCCTCACCTACATTCCTTCTGTCACCTTCAGAACTGTAGGCACATAACTGGCTACTCTTCAAACATGGATTTGACCTTACATGCAAATCAGTGCGGCTATAACCAGGAGCAACACTATGAATCTATGAGACGGCTTCTAATAATACTACCATGAGCGCCTTGGCTTCCCGAGACTGTTTTATAACCCAAAGATTGAGAAGAACAATGAACAGTGTAGGTAGGCCTTGCTGAAATTTGGACATTTGAAGCACCCATCTCTGATTTTTTAACTTTATTCTTCTTGCATGCATCATCACTTGTGATTTTCCAAATTTTACTGTGCTGCAAAGTATGCTCCGATCAGTTTACAGCAGTAATTATAAACTTGTGAGTGAATCAAATATAAAATGTGCAATATAAGAACCATTTATTGCATGACGTTTCTAGGTATTCAAACATTGCTGCATTGCATGCTATAAAGTATTCTTTCTAAAATTGTTTTCCTGGGAAAGCAAGATTAAATCAAGCCTGAGAATATAATATTGACATATAAATAATAATCAATGTTTTAATAAATTAATTTATTTTTCTATTTACTTCCCAAAACCTTAAAAACAGGAGTAACAGGGGAGATCACACTGCCATGGAAGGGTATATTTTGCTGGGTTTAGGTATTAGGTTTGTCGGGCTTAGGGGTTGTGGGTATTAACAATTGTTATTGCTGATATGTTGTTCATGTGATTGCAGATACTCTTAAGGAGAAGGAGCAGTGGACCGAAAAAACTGCTGCCTCAAAGAATTTGGAGGGTAATTTCCTATTCGCTTGCAAATATTGTACTTGACAAGGCATGTAATGCTAATGATATGTTTTAGGGTACTTTAACGAAAAACTCCTTGTACTGTTCACTTTAACGAAAAACCGTATTTTCACACTAAAAGTCAATCCTGATACTATTCATTTTACCCTTTATTTTAAATTTATCGTTAAAACTCAGTTTTCAAACCTTTTTTATTAGTTTTTCTTATATTTTACTGCAAGGCAGGAAGTTGAGCAAATCGGCACTCTAGTTTCTCTGTAGCTTTTAAAACCTAATTATACTCAGTTGACATGTTGAATCCTCCTCGATTTTGGACGTCTCCTTGAAAGTATGATCCACTAGAAAGACCTTAGAGGTCTTCAAGGACATTGCATCCTGTTTATCCACAACGATCACCTGTTGCGCCTCGTGCGTGAGAGCGACTGAAGCAGCAAACTGGGACACCATATCTTCAAAGTTCAATTCTATTTAGTTTCACATACAAAATTTAGAGTACAATTTATGTGATCCGCCGCTGCGGCTGCCAGAACAGATCTCCACAGATGAACTCATACAGGAAACAAAAAAGTATCCACAAAGAAATAACCTCTCATATGACTCCCTTGATCGATGTTTAACTCGAAATAGTGACCTTACAATTATATCCTCATGTACCAAAAAGAATGATGTTACAACAAAATTGCCACTTAGGAAATGGATATTTCTACGTTAGTTGCAAATGCATCGACTGCCAAAATCGTCCTGCCCTTAGAATTGAACAAACCCCAAGAACAGGGTCTGGTGTATAGTTATGCAACCACAATAGCAAATATCTTGCAGTGGGAGACCTCTAGTGTAGACGCGACATGCATAATAGCCTCCACTTATTCAATCCGGGAGCTTTCTTGCAAATTTAACAAGCAGGTCACCATAAATCATTTAAACTTCGAACGTATCAGTATGCAATTCTGTTGCTGTCAGAAGGTGAAGACATGCATTTGTAAAAGAGACCCATATGAATTAATTGTAGTTCCCCGAGGTTGCATCCAAGCATTCTTTAACCCTATGATGAAAGTCTTCCAAACAGGATTCCACTGAAAATAATAGCACCAAACCATTTGTTCGACACAAATCTGAAACCAAGACAAGGGCAAGCTCAGCAATCAATTATGTTCAAAGTAAAACGAAGTAAAAAGTTCTTACACCTAAACGATGTTTTTCTTTTCATAGACCGACTAACACACACTACACTATTCAAAAACCAATTCCAACCTCCACCTTTCCTTTTTTGTTCATCTTTGATTGGACAAACATGCAAGAAGCCAAAAATAATATTGATGCAATACACATATTTAACCTATATGAATACTTGAAAGCAAAATCATGACTGTAATACGCACTTTCTATTGCAATCAGCCCGGGATGAAAGGTCAGCTGTCCATATCTGCCAAGCTAATTGTCCAGAAGCGGCCGACAAAAATGCATAATAAGGCCAACCTGCTCCAAAGTTTAATGATTTGGGTGTGAGGATGTGGCAGAAACAAAAAGAAAATTTAGATTGAAGTTCCAACAATGATAAAGGGTAAAAAAAAAACGAACAGAGATACACATTAAGGAAGAAAGAAGAAAACCAATTTCAGCATTATATCCACTGAGGGCAAGACTACTCATGCACAAAATTCCAAAGCCAGTAATCCACTCCTTAGTTGAATCGCCAAATCTCAAAGCCGTAGACTTAACACCTACTTTCAAATCATCTTCCTTGTCCTGCAAGCATGGTCAGAAACATCTTTGGTTGGATTACATTTGAAAAGTTCTCTTAATCCTCCATAATCCATTTCATCACAATCAAACATTGGAAACCACAGCTTCTGACCGCATGAGCAATATAGTGACTAGTTTGTTGTACCTGATGTGCATATATCGTATCATACACAAGTGTCCAGCATACTCCAGAAAAGTACAATGGGAGCACTACAGCTGGATCAATGCTTCCTTTAACTGCAGCCCATCCTAACAAAGCTCCCCAATTGAAGGTTAACCCTAGATAGGCTTGAGGCTGCACCAAGCATGAAAGCATTACCAAATTATCAGTCCACTGTTATGAAACAGCACGTCTAAGTTAAAGAATAAAGCTTCAGGATAAGAAACAAAAGCTTTAATTACCCAGAATGTGAACCTCTTCATGAGAGGATAGGAGAAAACTAGAAACAAAGATGAAGCCCCTAAAACACGGCTGAAAATTCCAACAAATTAAATAAGTTTCATATGCTTGCAGATAATATTGGTTTAATCCGATTTATACACTAAAAGAGAACAATTAAAAAATCCATGGGTTTAAGGGCAGATACAAAAGATACCAACCTATAATTATTCAGTTGGAGGAGAATCCCAAGACCCAAAAGCAATTGAAATCCAAGAAAGCAAAGCCCCTGAAAGGGTGTCAAAACACCACTTGCAACTGGCCTCAACTTTGTGCGTGCGACCTGAAACAATAATGCATACTCATCATCACATGATCAAAAACCAAACCAAAACGAGCATGAAAGTCCAACTGAAAATGCAATGGCTGTGGACGTTACCATGGTATCAATATCCCGGTCAAGGAGATCGTTTATGGTGCATCCAGCACCCCTCAAAAGCAGAGCGCCACATCCGAATAGTGTCATCATCTTAAAATCAGGAAGGTGGCCTGGGCTTGCTGCCAATGTTATTGACCTGCACCAACAAGCATATGTATTTCAGACAACTTCAACTAAACAAATAAATATACTGTTGCCAATGTTACACAACACTTGTTTTTACTTCAACAAGTAAATGTGCGCCCCTCTATGCACCAGAGTTCTATTAGATTAGTTTAATCGAATATCGCTTATACAGAAAAACAAAACAAGTAAATTCAGCTTAACCAAATTGTTATCAGTGAATTTTACAAAACAATGAACTGGAGAAACCAAGTTCAAAAATTGAAGTAAAAATCACTTACCACATACAAGGCCAAGCGAGCAACCAGGTGCCAATGGGCCGGTCGAGGCGAGCGAGCTTAGCATAAGGCCGAGCTTGCCTCGGCAAATACAAGTCGATCCAAGATGCCTCAGCCTTCGTGCCATGGCCGCCCTGATTTCCGTCGTTCTTCTCACCGGTTGACGAAGGCGAGCTGGAGAGGTGCGCTAAGAGTCTGAGATCAAATTCAACGGAGCCTGGAGTCCAACGGTGCCTTTGATTGAATGGGCCCAACGGGCTTGCGTTCTGATAAGGGTTAGGGTTAGGATTGGCGGTGGTGGTAGTTGGGTGATAAGAAGAGACTGCGAATAGGGTGCGGGAGAGGGGCACTGCAGGTTTCAGAAACCTACGTGAAGAGCGAGAGGCCAGCCAAAACGAAGCCATTTTCGTTATTCATTCAAATGCATCTCTCAGATGGGGAGGTAAGATACACTTCGGTACCGAACATGGTTTCCGTTTTTTTTTTTTTTTTTTTGGTTTTTCTGGGTTTTGTTTCCTGCTGCTGTGTTATGACTTATGAGGCAGCTCTCTGTATGCTCTGCACTGTGGATGTGGAAATGCACAGAGAGCAATGGCATTCAAGAACCAAAATCAAATGTCTCCAATTCTCCAACCAACATAACAAAATGTCAAAAAATCAAAATGCTTTAAGGGATTAGTACAACCCAAAGTTCTAGGTATTAGCAACATAATTAAAAATGCCTTATCTAATATCATTGAGGCAATAAGTTGGAAGAGATGAATAAAAACCAGGAGGAAAAAGTACAAGAGAGGAAGGATACCCAAAACCCATCACAAATCATACTCAAAATTAGTGTTATTGCAAACCCTAAATTCAAAAGATTTCTCTAGTTTTCCATATTTTCTCATTAAACAAACAAACAAATTCGTATAAAATCAGAAAAGTAAAATCACCAGCAGCAGCGTGCTCCGTGGCTCCTATGACGGCTTTCCTCCACCCGCAACGGCGTCAACGTTGCTTTCGGCGGCGATGAAAGGCGGACACGGGGTGAAGTGTCGGGTCTGAGAGGATCGGCTGTTCCTAATTCGCAGGAGATATCGCCGACGAAAGAGTTTGAGAGAGAGGCTGAGAGAAGAGACAACAGAGAGAGGCTGCGTGAGGAGAGTCAGCAGACCGAGAGAAGAATAGAGTTATGGTGTGGACAGGTCCAGGGAACTTTGTATAAGCTCTCCAACAACTTATAGAATGCATCCTCTTTGTAAGGATCCTCTCCGGATCCTCTTTGTAAGGATTCTAAAGATTCTCAAATTATGTCCATTCATCGTACGTAAATTATTTTAAATATTTTTATTTCAAATTAAATATAAACAGCATCTGATGAAAACTGACCATACGATGCACGATGAACAAACATGAGAGAATCCTCATTCATAGAATCTGACATGTGGTTTTAAAAAATATGAAAATAGGGAGTTTTAACGAAAAGCCATGGTACTGTTCACTTTAACGAAAAACCACATTTTTACACTAAAAAGTCAATCCTAGTACTAGTCACTTTACCCTTTATTTTTGTCCTTATCATTAAAAGTAAAAGTTTTCAAGCATTTTTCATTAGTTTTCCTATGGATAGGCACGGTTTGAAAATAAAGAAACCAAAACCGAAACCGAAACCGAAACTTTGGTTTAGAAAGTTGTACGATTTTGTACCAAAATTGAAAAAACCGAATCAGTAGGTATGGTACGAACTTGGTCGGTTTCAGTTTCCCCTTTTTCTCCCACCCTTACTCTCAATCTCGGGTCTCGGCCAAAACAATACCTAGGGCTGGTTTGATATGGGATACCAAACCGAAACCCTTGTCCCAATTTCCCAACCAAAGCTTTCAGGAATCTCAAATTCAAGACCGATCTCAAACCAAATTTTCAGAAATCCCAATTTTCGGGAATCTCGAAATAGTTTTGGGATTTCAACTCCATTCAAAATCCCATCGATTCAAAATCCCTAATTCCAAAAGCCCTAATTCATAAACCCTAATTTCAGAAATTCCTAATTCCAAAAGCCTTAATTTAGAAACCCTAATTTTAGAAACTCCTAATTCAGAAACCCAAATTCAAAATCCCTAATCAAATTTGAAATCAAACAATTTGTATGAACTTTGGTTGAGTTTATTGCAGGAATTTCTTACCTTGTGCAGTGAGGAGGAGTGCAGATTGAGACCAAGAGCTCGATTCAGGAGGTATGCACAGTGGGTGAAGTCGAGATTCAAGTGAGGAGTGAGGACTGATGACCGAGGACTGAAGACTGAGAGGAATGAGGACTGGTGTGGGTAGATTCGAGATTCAGGCGACGGATGTGGGAGGAGAGACAAATCGGCAAGGATGGTGGTGAGGTTCCGTTTAGGTGGTGAGGTTCCGTTTAGTTACTGAGGTGAGGTGAGGTTTGAGTCTGAGGGGAGAGAGAGTGAATGTGACTGTGAGTGTCAAGAGACGTAGAGAGAGAGAGAGAGTTAGAGACTAGGTTTAATTTATATTCAACGGTTGAGATTAAATCTCAACTGAATCCAACGGTTGTTACAATTCCAAATATATATATAAATTAAATATATTTTATTTCGGTTCGGGATTACCGAATGAACAAAAACTTGATACCGATTCCCGTACTGAAATTTCGGAATTGGTTCGATATTGGGTACCGAAATTTTCGAAATTTTTGGTTTGGTATTTTTTTGATTCGGTTTCGGAAATTTTTCGGTATGATTTGGAATTTTCAATTTTTTTTTCCACCCACCACAGAGGGGTGGGGGTGTACTGGCAACACTACAAAAAGACTTATTTTTTACCCCTTTTTACCCTGCCAAAATCTCAACTTAATCTTTATATTTTTATTTCGTCTCACTTTACTTTTTGTTCTCGTCATTTGTATCCATATAATTATGGGATAACTTGATATAGATCCAATTTTGTGAGCCATTAGTAGGATTAGTCCACTTCTTTGAAATAGGTCCAATAATTGAGATTTCATGTATGCTTATTTTTTATTTGTACCATATTTACCCATTAGGCTTACGAATTGTAGTAAATACACAAAATTTCTTAATTATGGGATTATTTGTGGTTTAACTAATCCCTTAATTGTAGGATTAGTTATAGCAATATAATCACCTCAACCCCCAGTTCGTTTCATCCCTCCTTCTTTCCTTCTTCCACACAATTCCCTTTGTTAGATCATGGAATCAATCCTCCTCTTTTTTTTCTCTTCATTTCATGGGTGATATTTTTGTGTTCTTCCCTCCAAATTCGTTCCTTTCATGGAGGTATATTATATCATATTTATATTTCTATGTTCCGCCATGTAGGTTCCCAAAATTTTTCTTCCAATACAATAGGTAGTTTATTTTTGTTTTGCAGGTAGATTATATCTGCTTTGTAGGTATAAAGCATCCTTCTTACTATACAATGGGTACGTAGTTACTAGATTATATCGGTTTTCTTTTCTTCATAACTAGTAGGTAGTTAGTAGTTACTAGATAATATTTTAGTTTGAGTATTTAAATATTCAAAATTTAAAAACTGAATAATTGATAAAAAAAAAATTAAAAAAATTAAATATTTTTATCTAAAGGGGCAAAATTGATATCAAAATATGTAATTGGATAATTGGATTCAGTCCCAAAAACTACTTATGTTTTGGACCTAGATCCAAAAGCCCCAATTATCATTCAATGTTTTGAGGTTGGCGTTGTATTAGTACAAATAATGTTCTATATAAAAGCAAGGGAGAAAAGTTTGAACTTGTGACACATATGGTTGAAGAAGAAAACCCTGACCATTAGAGTGATCTACTACTTACGTCTTGAGATTGCCGTTAGTTTTGTGATGTGAGTTTTACTAATGATCTTTGAAAAATTAAGCAATTTAAGGGGAGCATATTCAATTTGAGATTCTAAAGGAATTTAGGTTGTCATGAATGAATTTGGATAACTTTGGTAGGGAGTTTGGTGTTTTCTTTTATGTGCCATGATGATTTATCCGTTTTTAGACGTTTCAGATGTAAAAATGAGTTGTCACTTAGTACTACGGTCTAGTGGTATTCTTCTTCACTTGTAAGTGAGAGGTCTTAGGTTCGATTCTTGTCACAGGCGAATTTGAACCACATTATTGCTAGTTCATTGTGAAGCTAAGCTTGCTCCCTCCCTCTTAGTGTAAATAATATCATTTGTTTAAAACACACAAAAAAAATGTAAAAATGAGCTAAGAATCAAACCTAAGGCTTAACTCTTACAAGTGATGAAGAATAAACTTTTTAGACAAAATGGTCCTTGAGATTTGCATAACACATTACTTTGGTCCATGTGATTTGAAATCAATAGAAGTGGTCCCTGAGATTGTTCATCATCAATCATTTTGATCATTCCATGCAAAATTATGTTAAATAAGAATCAAAATGATAAATATATTCTCAATTTAATACACAATGAGCCAAAATGATTTGACAAAAATTAAGGGTATTTTGGTTATTCTATTGTTATTTAATGGAGATTTTTCAAGGAATGACCAAAATGATTGGTGATGGACAAACTTAGGGACCAAGTCTATTGATTTCAAATTTTAGGGACCAAAGTAAGGAGTCATGCAAATCTCATGGACCATTTTGACTAAAAAGCCTAAAGAATATTATTAAGTAGTAGACTAGTAGTTACAACGCTAATTGCAATTTTATAATAGATTTTAAAATTAAGAAGAATATGACAATAGTCATTTAGTGCTACAACGTAGTGGTATCCCTTCTTATTGATAAATGAGAGGTTTTATGTTCAATTCTCGTCAAAAGTGATTTCAAACCAAATTATTATGGCTAACTCACTGTGAGGCTTAACCCACTTTTTCACTCCATATTGTAAATAATATCGTATATATTGAAAAATAAAAAAATGATCATAGAATTTGTTAAAAATGCATACCATGTTGCTAGAGAGTGGGTTCAACCAAGCACAAATGGAGCCATAGAATTTGATTTGTATAATTTTGGGGTTAATGAAGCGCATGATTTAATTATGATAAATTTTGAAGTAAATATAACTCATTGTTGAATTCATGTTTGACAACTTTATGTTGGTTTTGATATTTATTATATTACGTTTAAAATAGTAAGCAACTATATTTTAGGTAGAGGTGTTCAGCCTGATTCCATCCTCAAATTGGAACCAGGAAAATATCAACGGTTTGAGTCGTACGGTTTCGCTTAAATTTGTTACTAAAATAGTACGGTTCGTTTCACGATGGTTCTTATTTAGTTCATACCGATTTACGATTCTGAATACTAAATCATTTGAATCTTGCAAACATATATTTAGAGTACATAAAAAGGTCAAAGGATTTTTATAAACATGCATGACTAATCATAAAGAATGATAAACTACAATATATAGAAGAAGACTTAAAAAGTTAAGTGGCACCAAAAATTTACAAAGTTAATGAATATTATTCATATCAACAATTCACAAAACATAACACACATAACTAACAAATTTAGCTTATCAGATCCATTCTGGTTACTAATTTAACAATCTAGAAACAAAAGACCGAAGCATTCTTATTAAGAAACATGATAAAACGGTTGAAATTCATAAAATTTTCAAAACCTAATTAATTATTTATATTCACGGTTTGGTTCTTTTCTAAGCGGTTCCGCCAACATAAAAACCGGAACCGGTATGAACGGTTCGGTCTGATTGTTGAACCTCTATTAACATTTTTTTTTTGTCAACACGGTTTTTTACGGTTTATTTTATTGTGGTTCAATTCAATTTCGCTATTTGCCCACCCCTATATTTAGGTACATTCTTTGAAAGAACACATTAATGAGTATTTGCCTGAGAGAATAAAAGAAAATCTGAGCTTCACAATCATTAACTTGTTTTTAATAAGTTATTGAATTCTAATCATACTGGTTTTGCGTTGAAGAGTGACATAAACGTATCTATTATTCCATCTTTCATGAATTATGCTACTAAGTATTGGTTGTTGACGAAATTAAATTGAATCCTGACTAAAAGGATAACAACATGTTTAGATTGCACGAATATGTACCTGGTGTGTATGTATTTGTTAATCTTTATGTTGTTAAAGAAATCAACCCCATCTCATTAAAGGACTTACACAAATCTAGAATAAAGAATTCTAGAACATTCACTAAGGTTGGTTAGCTAG